AATGCCCCCCCCCCCCCAAAAAAAAAAAAAAATGCAAGAGTAAAGGTAAAAGTCATAACCTTTCTTTCACGTATCTCATCTAGAGATTCAGAGATGTTCTCCTGCAAGTGGCACAACTCCTGCAAACTGAGGCCGCTCATGTCTTCCCCTGTTCTCTGCCTATGGACAGACGCCACCATCAGCCATTTCACTACAATTGCTTATAAATGAGCCAATTACTCAAATAGTCACTCAACTATCTCAAATTATCTCTTAAAGACACTTTTCTTTCGTTTATAACAACAAAGTCACTGAACTATACCTCTTGCACTCAGAAGGTCACTCAACTAGATTTTTCAAATTTTAGATTGCCAAATACCTATTTTACCNGAAACACAGAAAGTAGCTAGCCTCATGATCTGTCTGTCCTGTGATGAAGTTAAAGAAAAACAGAAAGAGAGAGTTAGTAGCGAAACTATATCGGGAAAAAGAAAGTTAAAGTGTAGTAGGTGCACTAGTAGGAGCTTTTGCCAATTTTGTGAAAGTCTTTTGTGGCTCTCATGCTACTGTTTAACGTGTGATGTCCGGTTTTTTGACCGTGACAAGTCCTTGTTCAGCTTTATGGCGTTTGTTTGGAGTTAGTAAATTTTAAATTTCTTTATTTAAATAATGTTTAGTGATTTTGTTATATTGAGATCAAGGAGGACTACTTGCTCATTAACCCCCCTAACATAAAGTTGTGATGGCTTTAGAAGTGCTAGAGAAACACAAGAACAAGAGATTATAATATGCTATTATTTAGGTTCAGTAATTAGGTGGCGGAATATATACGAAGACACCTAAAGTTGACACCATTTTTTACTTAGACACTTAAATTAGGCCTCTTTCCATTTGAACTCATTTCTTAGGCATTTATTATACCAGTTAGACACGTTTTGTACAGGCTTATTAGTTCACCAAGTGCGTGTTCTGCAATCTCCATCTACGTGGAACAAATAATCATTATAAATCGCACCACATCATTTAATAGTCCACCTCACCATCCACCTCATATTTCCACTAAAATACACAAATAAACAGCCCTACACAAACGATCTAAACAAATGAACCCTGTTTCTTTTACCATCGATAAAAACAAAGAAAGAAACCACCATTACTAAGCTTTTTCTTCTTTCCGTCAATGGTGTTGGAATCTAGTATTTCTACTAATTTCTCACGGTATTTCTACTGATTTCTCATGACAAAGTCCGATCTCTCCTTATTTTCTATTGCTACAGTTAGGGCTTTTTTCTTTTAAGTTATTGATAAAGCTAGGGTTTTTTGGGGTTTTCCTTTGTGCTGGTCCCTTGTCGTCTTATGTAAAGAATATTATGGATGACTATATTTTAACTTGTTTTTACCACGGGGTACATTTATCGAACAACCTGCCCCAATATACAAAGGGAAATTAGATGCCTTTGTTGTTGCTATCGATAAAGACCATTTTAGTGTTGTCGAGTTGTCTTCTTATGCTAAAGATCTTGGGTATGCAGCTGTCGAAGGGTTTTATTGTCAAAAGAAAAAAAATGGTGAATTTATCAAAGTCGTATCTGATTTTCAATTATATGAATTTGTGAAAGATTTAAAACATGGTGATATTTTGGATGTTCTTTTATTTGTGCTTTAATGAATTGAAGAAAGGTTGGTTAGAAAGATGTAGGAGAATCATAGGTTTTGATGGTTGTTTCTTAAAGGGTGCTTGTAAAGGTGAGCTTCTAGTTGTTATTGGCAAGAATGGAAATCAACAAATGTTTCCCATAGCATGGGCAGTTGTGGACCAGGAGACAAAGCATAGCTGGAGTTTTTTCATTAACTACTTGAAAGATGATTTGCACTTAGGAACTAGAGAAGGATTGACTGTGATGGCAGATATGCAAAAGGTAATCGCCTCACCTCCTTGTTAAGCAATCTGTTAAGTAACCCTCCTCACCTCACTGTTAATTAATCCCCCTCACTTCACTATTAAGTTATCTCTTAAGTAGTTTGTTAAGTGATATGTTAAGTACTTTGTTAAGTGGTCTGCTAAGTAGTCAGCTTTTAGTAATGTACTGCTATAATTTGATCTGCTGTTATGCTATTGTAATGCGAATTCATTATTGTGTAGGTATTTGCTGCAACTTTGAATGAAATTTTATCCAATGCTAAATTTAGAATGTGTGCCAGGCACATCTGGTTTAATTGGCATAAAAAATGGAAAGGAGAGGAAAAGAGAAAACAGTTTTGGAGGTGCTCTAAAGCTAGTTATGAAGTTAAGTTTAAGGAGGAGCTTCAGAAAATGGACAAACTTGGTAAGGATGTTTGTAGGAATTTGTTATATTGTGATGTGTTCCAAGGCATTAAAAGCCTCCTTTTATCTCACCCCGATTTGCGTGCACGGTCTGGACATATATCCGGAACACTTTTATGTGAAAATTTGATAAAAATACTAATTTGGCTTTTAAAATTAAATTTAAGTTGACTTCGGTCAATATTTTGGATAAATGGACCCGGACCCATGATTTGACGGTCCCGAAAGGTACGTATGGTGTCACACCTCCTTTTTCCGCCCCCCGCGAGGGGCGTAGGAGTTTTTTCCAATTAAAGGACAATCGAAATAGGATTTATTTATTTATTTCAGAGTCGCCACTNTTGTTCTTTAATTAATTTAAACTAACATTATTAGATGAAGAAGTTATGCAACCTCGTTACTCATTAATCAGTCAACTATATTTTTATACAAAGAAAGGAAAATTATATTCAAACACAAATCTAAACAGGAGGAATTCAACAGGAACAAAGCCTGATTAATATTTCATTTCGCTTCAAGCCGAGAGTGTACAACTGTGTACCTGGAAATGGCAGTACAAGAACAAAAGAAGGAGGAGTCAGCAGCA